AACACTCTGAGAGAAAATACGGAATCCAATCCGGCATCTCTGAATGACCCTAACCATGACTTAGACTTGCGTATTACTTATAGTAATGCTTGTAACACTTCAGAACTTAGCAATACAAAAGCTTAATCGAGCTAATACCATCATGAAGATTCCTTACACTGGCTGTTCCATTCAGGAGGTGGACCCAGGAAGAAGTCGCCATAGCTGTGCTCTCCTCGGTATTGCAACTCGTAGGCAAAGACGCGGTAGCCGAAGACCGTGTCTCGGGCGTGGTGTTGCAGAGTCTCCCGGACTGCCATGTTGAAAGCGCCGTCTCCTGCAAGCTGGAGATTACGTGGCTTACTTTTGATCATGATTTCAAGGCAACGATTTTTAAGACGAGAATTCACGATCTCTAGCAAATCTCCTCGTCCTTTCTTTATATATATATATATATATATATATATATATATATATATATATATGTGTGTGTGTGTGTGTGTGTGTGTGTGTGTGTGTGTGTGTGTGTGTGCGTCTGTGTGTGTCGTGTACGTGTGCATGTATGTGAATAAACAGTGTTTGTACACGTGTGTGTGCGCGAAATCCCCCTGACACCAACTTCCCTCCTCCCATTGCGCAAGCCACGGCCTCTCACCCTGGAAAAGGCGTCGACCTTGCCCAAGTCGAACTCCAGGGGCCCCAGGTACCTGTGGAAGGCGAGGCGGGCCAGGTACTCGGGGTCGTCGTCCCAGGCCTCTAAACCCAAAACTAAGTGTCCATTCTGCGTGAAGTTTTGCATGAGATTCCCCATCGCCGGCGGTTCATGCAGCACCACTGAGGTTAGGAGGGGATGAGGTTAGATTTAAATAGGTTGCTGATAATTAATTAATAATTAGTGATAAGGGATAGAAGCGCTGGTTGATAAACTCTATAGGTTGTTCAGTCTCAGGGAAATGACAAACTGGCAACTCACCACGGGCCCTAGAGTAGGCCTACTTTTAAATCTATGCTAGTCACATGACTCTTTGATATGTTTGCTTACATGATTTAGGATTTTTAAATCTCGTCTATGGATTATTTTAATTACTTTTTTATCAAAATTTACTGCAACACATTATTATTATTATCATTATTTTCAAAATCGGCGAATCAGAACACTCCAGAACCAGATTCCAGAGTTGCCAATTTTCATTTACCTGAAACTTTATGGAGTAAATAAATAACGAAATTCTGAATCGGTTTCACCTCATGAGCTCTCTCTTTATAAGAGCTACGACAATATATTTAGTGAAGGGTTTTTACTTGACTGGTACAGGCGGTTCCTTCGAGTGGTCGTCCTCCTGTCGTCCTCCTGAGACTCAAACCCCACGCTCTTATGAGGTCCTCCTTATTCCCTGCACCACAGTGACCTTCATTTTGGTGCTAAAGTAAGTATTCAAATCAACTGATTAAATACAAAAAAGGTGTCTCAAAAAAAAAAAAAAAAAAAAAAAAAAAAAAAAAAAACGATATAACACGTTGGTACAGGAGTTATTTGGAGGATCTCTAAGCAGGGGGGTTCGAATCCTACTCACGGTCCGAGGTTAAGGAGAAAGTACCTTCTGAGCCCCAGAAAGAAGGGAAATAAGGAGATTGAATAATGGGGAAATAAAGAGGACAGAAAGAGGTAAATAATCAGATAGAAAAAGGAAAATAAAAAGATAGAAAAAAGGAAATAAAAGGATAGAATAAAGGGAAATAAAAAGAAAAAAGGAAACAAAAAAAGAGAAAAAAGGGAAATGAAAGTATAGAAAAAAGGAAATGAAAAGATTGAAATGAGAGGAAATAAAAATATAGAAAAAGGGAAAATAAATGAAAAAAGAGAAGTAAAAAGATAGAAAAAGGAGAGAAAGAAAAACATAAAAAGAAGGGAAATTAAAAGAAAGAGAAACATATTAAATCAAAAGAAAAAGAAATAAAGAAAAAAAAACAGAAAAATCAAGAGATAGATTAAAAAGAAATAAGAACAAAACAATAAACAAAAAAACAGAAAACGAATTCACTTCTGGTGACCAGGGCGCCCTCATCCCGCGTCGTCCCGGCCATGACGTCGACGCGGTTGTAGCGGCCCTCCCTGACCAGCACGGCGGGGTGGGCGGGCAGGAAGTCGCCGTCCACGCGGGGAACCATTACGTACGGGAAGTTGAACCAGGTCTGGGGGGAGAAAGGGCGGTGTTTAGAGTTCGAGGTGGCTAGGTAGGATTTGCGTATGTAGGGCGATTGGCAAGTACAGATGTGGAAAATACAGTGGTATATGACCTTTGGTGTCTGGAACGTTAATTTCTTCTAAGTCATTAACCAGGTAGGAAATACATATATGAAATTCGTCTGTCCTGCCTTTAGTACCTTATCCTGGGGTAGTAGCTTAACGCTTCTTAGTTTGGCTATATACTTGTACTTCACATTAAATTAAATGAATAAATAAATCAAATTCATACCTCCTTGAAAGATCTTCCATCAACCCATCCTGCAAAATTTCCACGTCTCTACACATGCACAAAAGAGCACTCAACTCACAGCAAACTTCCTCTCAGCCGAAACAAGGTCTCCAGCTGGGACCTTTCTTAGACAGGCGACGAGAGCAGCGCTGTCCACCTCAGAGGAATTGGCACTCACGCCTGGACAGCTGAACTGACGCCCGATCTCAATGGCTACTTCCCTGTGGTCCTCCCGCACTGCCCAGGGACACAGCGCCACCCCTGACTGCATGATGGCTCGTCTGAATAAGCCTGTGGACAAGCGAGGCGTTCAGAAGGGAATGGTTAATAGTTAAAATAAGTAAAATGCTAAATATCACTAAAGAGGAATAAAATATATTGTGGCTGCATCTGATGCCGGTGTGTTAAAAGATTTTTGGTACTATAGTTGATGACTTTCTGCAGTGCTTACTAGTCTTTACAACCGTTTTGGCACTTACAGGAGTAGATTAATTTATATGTCACGTTCGTTTAAAGTCAGTAATCCAAACCAAGTTAATTTCTACATTACTGTACATGTCTTGCATTTAAATTGAATAAAATAGTACGTGAAACGTACCAAAATATCCATATACTTCTAATACAAATAATGACCATAAACCATAAAAACCTTGGAAATATTTTTTTTACATCAACTCCCATTACCTTTGGACATCGGAGACAACATATGGTAGTGAACCGATACTCCTCCAGCGTTATGACCGAAGATAGTGACCTTGTCTGGGTCGCCACCGAGGTCGCGGATGTTGTCCTGCACCCAGCGGAGGGCCAGCGCCTGGTCCTTCAGCCCCAGGTTACCGGGGAGCTCTGAGTCCTCTGTCGACAGGAATCCTGCAGATCCAAGAGGGAAGTGACCGTATTAAACCTTCATGGCTTTGGCCCAATGGCGAGAATGGGCGAAACACACGAGCCGAAATAACACCCAATTATCACTGACAAGAAAGCAAGCTTCCTATGCAACATGCCAACATAGACGCTGGTCGCACTGTATTTTTGTCTGTAGTGTACTTACGCTCAACAGACCTACAGTTTTTCACACAAATCTGACATATTATAATAATAATGATAAAAACACTACACTTTACTGTATTCTCGATAGACTAATACTTCTTTTCTCACAATCACTTCTCCCTCTCCTTAGACAGCTAAACACGAACACCCTTCCCTTCCTCCTTCCCTTAGATAGCTATACACACGAAGACGAAGACGAACCGAGCGTAGAGAGGCGGTATTGGATGACGACGAGTACCACGTCCATGGTGAGAAAGGGCAGAGGCTGGTACTGCTCCCCGAAGCCCATGCTGAAGGCTCCGGAGAAGATCCACACCATGACAGGCAGGTCCGAAGTGTACGGCTGCGAATAGCGAAGTTATACGGTATGTGTGTTGGCGTAGTTCCTTAATATGTTTTATATCGTGTGTGTTAGTTTTGTTTTATAATGTATGTGTTAGCGTAGATTATATGTGTTTGTGTTTTATGATTTATACACACATTTATATATATAAATATATATACATATATTTATATATATTTATATTATATGCATATATATGTATATTACATATATATATATATATATATATATATATATATATATATATATATATATATATATATATATATATATGATACTTGTTTTAGCGTAGTGTTAAAATATTTGCTTTAGTGTAGTTTTACAATTAATGTGTTAGCGTAGTTAATTCATCTTATAGTCGACATTTACATACAATATTATGAAGCTATTTTTCTTCCTGAATTTATTCTGAATATACTTTTTTTGTCTATTTTATACAAGTATGCTAGCATTATCTTATTTAATTATTTTTTCTGTTAATAATAGAGATTCTCATTCTCATTATCCCTTTCTTCTTTTCTCTTATTCATTCCTTCTTTCTTCTCTTCAATCCATCCATTCTCTCTTGTTTCTCTTTTTTTCCAGCCTTTCCTCAATCTTCCTATTTCTCGCTCCCTCCTTCTTTCTGATTCTCGCTCCCTCCCTCTTACTCATTCTTACCCCTCTTTCCCTCTCACTCTTCTATTCTCTCTCCCTTTCCTCCTTTCCTCTTTCTCGTTTTCTGCCTCTCCTTTCTTCCCTCTTTCTCGTTTTCTGTCTCTCCTTTCCTCCCTCTTTCTCGTTTTCTGTGTCTCCTTTCCTCCCTCTTTCTCGTTTTCTGTCTCTCCTTTCCTCCCTCTTTCTCATTCTCTCTCCCTCTCGCTCCTCTCTCCTCCTTTCTCTCTCCCTCACTTCCCGTTATTATCCTCCCTTCCTCTCCTTTCCCTAATCTCATCCTCTCCCACCCCTATTCCTTCCTCCCCCTCCCTCTCCCCCCATCATCCTCTCCCTTTCTCCCATATCTCCCTGTCATACCCCTTCATCCTCCCTCCTCCTTCCTTCCCTCTCATTCTCACTCCTCTTTCTCTCCCTCACTCCCCTTCATCCTCCCTCCCACTGCCTTCCCTCCCTCCTCTTTCTCTCCCTCACTCCCACGTATTCTTATTCCCTCTCTCTCATTCTCCTTCACTCCCCTTCGTTCTCTCTCTCCTCTCTCTTCCTTCCCTCTCATTCTCCCCCTCCCTTCCCTCCCATTCCTCCCTCCCTCCCCTTCCTTCCCTCTCATTCTCCCCCCTCCCTCCCTACCCCTTCCTTCCCTCCCATTCTCCCCCCTCCATCCCTCCCTCCCATTCTCCCCCCTCCCTCCCCCTCCCTTCCCTCCCATTCTCCCTCACGCCCCTTCATCCTCCTCTTCCTCCCCCTCCTCCTCCCCCTCCCCCACTCACCCGCGGCGTGTAGACCGAGAGATAGAGACAGTCCTCCTGGCCATACACAACGGGGCCAAAAACCTGCGGGCACATGGGCATTGGCACCGAGCCGTTCCTTGTGCCCTCCCACGCCGCGCCCGGGATGGGGTCCTGTGGGGGGGAAAGGAGGGACTGTAAATGATGGTGATGACTGTGGTGGTGATAGTGGTGGTGGCTGTAATGATGGTGATGATGGTTGTGATTATGGTGATAGCGGCGGTGGTGATGATGATAATGATCATGATATGTGATGGTGACGATAATGATGGCTGTGCTGATTATGGTGACGGTGATGATAATGGTGATGATGATGATGATGGTAATGACAGTTATAATGGTGTTGATATAAAATAATAATAATAATAATAATAATAATAATAATAATACAATAAAAGTAATAACACTGACACGAACACTAACAATAATGATTACAATAATAACAATAATAATAAGGCATACATAATACATACATTTATATATATATATATATATATATATATATATATATATATATATTTATATATACATACATACATACACCCACACAATTCTAGTATATCCTAATCTTTTCCCTAATTAATTCACGTATGAAGCAGGGAGCCGTGAAAACATGATGGTCAGCATTAGAGGGGAAAGAAGTATGTACGAACCGTTATGAGGACGATACCAGGAGGGGAGGGGAGGGAAGGGGAGGGAATGAGGATAGAAGGGGTGGCAGAGGGGTAGGATGGAGGGACGAAGGAGGGGGAGGGGAAGGGGAAGGGATGGATGGAGGGGAAGGGGAAGGGATGGATGGAGGGGAAGGGAGAGACAAAAAAGGGGGGGAGGGAGGGAAGGAGGGGAAGGGAAGGAGGGAGGGGAAGGGTGAGACAAAAGAGGGGGGAGGAGGAGGGAGGGAAGGAGGGGAAGGAATGGAGGGAGGGGCGGAGGGAGGGAAGGAATAGAGGGAGGGGAATGGAGAGGCAAAGGAGGGAGGAGGGGGGAAGGAGGGGTGTAGTGGAGGCAAGGGGGGGGGGATTAGGCTGGCGAAGCATAACGCCGGAACTCCATCACTTCCGGCTGTCGGAGGGAAGCCACGGCATACGGTTTCGGAAGCCGGGAATTTCGAATTTTCAGAGGGTCAGAAACAAAAAAAGAAAAAAACAAAAATAGATAAAAAGGAGGGGAAGAAAGGATAATAAGGTTATTTAAATGTAAACAAAATTACATCTAATCCATCTGCACACACACATATATAGTTACTTTTCTGCGAGTGTGTGTGGATGCATGCGCGTCTGCGTTTATGTGCGCACGCGTGTGTGTATGTGCGTGTGTGTGTGCATGTGTGTGCATGTGTGTGTGCGCGTGTGTGTGTATGTGCGTGTGTGTGCGCATGTGGGCGTACACGTATGTGTGTATGTATGCGTCTGCGTGCGTGCATGTGTATATGCGTCCGTTTTCCCGCGAGGCTCACCTTGAACCGCAGCTCCCCGACCGGCGGCTGCGCGAAGGGGATGCTCTTGAAGCTGTAGAAGAACCTGCCCTCCTCGGCCTCGGACCTCGAGCCCACGATGGCGCCCTGTTGGAGCTCGACCTCGACCGTCTCCTCCATCGACATCGGGGCCTCATCCGGCGCCGCGGCTGCCGAGAGGAACAGCGCGGCGATCGCGAACACTAACCGCATCGTCTGTCTACAAGCGCAAAATTCCATTATTTATTGAGACAGAAAAGAATAAAAGAAAGAAAGAAAAAAATGAGACACGTTATCCGAAAGGCTTGCGTCACTACCGACCTGTCACACGAGAGCAGAAGAGAGAGTAGCGTTTGATTCCCACAACGTCTGAATGCTAACTGATCTCCGCTGGGCCGGGCGATGTTACAATTGGTATTTCCACGAAACCGCTTGACTGGATTTTAAAAACCGCTAAACATATGGGTAAAAGCTCCTCCTTCTCCCGCTAAAAATGATTCCGACTCCCGCTAAATACAGAGTAAACTTTTTAAAACATTTCTCGCTAGATCGTAACACGAAAACGATAAATCTAGCGGAAAAATCGCTAGAATGGCATCACTGGGGCCTGTCAAGTACCATCGCTGTTGTTAAGTTATTAGCTTCCTTTGCTATTCTGTCGGCTTCTGTCTGTTTGTTTGTTGGGTTCTGTTCGTTTGTCTGTCGGGTTATGCTTGTTTGTTTGTTGGGCTCTGTTCGTTTGTCTGTCGGGTTATGCTTGTTTGGTTGTCGGGTTCTGTTAGTTTGTCTGTCGGGTTCTTTTTGTTTGTCTGTCGGGTTATGCTTGTTTGGTTGTCGGGTTCTGTTAGTTTGTCTGTCGGGCTCTGTTAGTTTGTCAGGAGAGAGGGAACACAGCCCCTTCGTCTCTGAACTGGAAAGATAATTTCTAACAAAGACGCTAATTATCCGTTCTGATTTTCCTCTCTGACCTTCGAAGTAGCAGAAGTTGATGACAACGTTTAACAAAAGATCCAACCACAGTAGCTCCGGCATTTGGATAGCAGTGAGCCAGTGTGTTTACAGCAACACAATGCCTCTAAAATAGTGGTATTACTCAATCGTAATTGTACATACCTATAGTATATAACACCAAAGAGGCGAGCGAGAGAAAGAGAGAGAGAGAGAGAGAGAGATAGAGAGGGAGAGAGTTAGAGAGAGAGAGAGAGGGGGTGAGAGAGCGAGCAGTTCACACTCACAAATGGCGCCTTCGAGAAAACAATTGCTAAACAAATATTATCGTTCTGGTAGCACTTTTCGAATTAAGGATAAGTCCGGTATGCGAAGCTGAGCCTCGCCCGGGCTATGAAGCCCGGCCTGTGCCGACTAATGTCGCCTCGCTAACAGTGCGTCAGCAGGTGCTGAGTCCGATGAGCTTAGTCCTTACCCACCGTGGTGCCCAGCCACAGCAGTAAACACCAGGCGACAATTGCAACTACTCGCGCCTTGACGGGGCGCGAACCGCCGACCCCTCGGATGAGAGGCCGACACGTTACCACTGTACTAGCCCGGAGGCTATTTTTCGAATTCCCAGATGTTATTGAACGGAAACTCTCAGTACGACAGTTTAATGTTTCGTGGCCAATATCAATTAATGGTCTGCGTAATCCGTTAAACACAGTAATATTCTAACAAATGCTGATTGATGTCATTGTTTAGAGCACGGAATTCAGTTTGTCCACGCGCGTGTGTGTATGAGCTTGCGGGGGTATGTGTGTGTGTGTGAGTGTGGTTGTGCGTGTGTGTGTGTGCGCGTGCGTGTGCGTTTGCGCGTGCGCTTGCGCGTGCGTGTGTATGTGCGTGTGATTGTGTGTGTATGCGTGCGTGTGTGTGCGTGCGTAAGCGTGTGGGTGCATGCGTGCGTGTGTGTGTGCGCATGTGTGTGTGTGTGTGTGCGTGCGCGTGTGTGTGTGTACCTGCGTGTTTGGGTGTGTGTGTGTGTGTGTGCGCGTGCGTGCGTGTATGTATATGCGCGTGTATGTTGATGAATATTTGTGTGTGATCTCTCTGACATACGAGTCTGGGCCTGTTCTTTCGCTGTACTTCCCTTCATATTTTTGCCTTTTGTGTGCAACCCTGTGCGTGTTCTTCAAGTGTAATAATGTCTTTTCCCTGCCTTATTAAAAAAAAATCTTTACCTTTTACTTATTTATATACTAGCCTGTTCTATATTACATGCTTAGCTTTTGTGACCGTTATGCTCTATGGATTCTGGGATATACGTGGTCTTTGCACGGTGTTATTTGCAGTTAGCGAAGCGTGTGATTTTGACTAGCTCTATTTGTGTGTGTGTGTGTATGTGTGTTCGTGTGTGTGTGTTCGTGCGTGTGTGTTCTCAGCATGAGGGTACTTACTTTCATGATGATTGTGTTGATTATTCTCGTTTTCCGTTCCTTCTTTTTTTCTTAATGTAGAGCTCTTCGTTTCTTAGGAATCACATGTGTGTTAGTTGTGATCTGCGAAATGGTGTAACTTGGGGGTTGGCGTTGGGAGATTCGGTAAAACTTCTTTATGGTCTGAGAGGAAACTGCTGCTGTTTGCAAATCTGTTTAATTTCATCACTTTTGTTGTTGATTTGGCGTAAAATTTTGCAAATGCCGCAACATCTAGTTTTGAGTTTACATTTTCTGTGATTTTTTTTTAACGTTTTCTGTGATATTCAGAAATATTGTTTTCTGTGATCCAAATAATCTGTTACTAAAAATGTTGTAGAATGACCGTAGTAATTTTGGCACAAGTAACGGAAATTTTGTGGGTGGAAGATTACTGCCTTTGCTCGTTTTCTTGAGGCCAGACACTTTTCCTTTTCTTTTTTAATTAGTACATAACTCGTCATGAATGAGACTTTATGTATTCGTAATCTATGTAGGCCCAAATAAAATTTCTGACACGTGGGAAAGATGATACAATGTTGCGGGCCCTCCACAAGGACGAGTCACTTGCAAGGTCTGTGCTTTTAGGGATAATGTACCCTGTTTGTTTATCCTATTTATTTATTATTTTTCTAATTTTCATATGGTGGCAATTGAATTTTTAGACAAAATTCTACAAGCTGGACAGTTCATAATACACACACACATATACTAAAAGGCACTTAAACATCAACACTGACATTTCCTCCTTTGCTGCTCGGAAGCTGAGCCTCAAAGGGAATGAGGCAAGGAAAGGCTCAGCAGTGAAGGCCAAAGAGAACACTTTCTCGGCTTTTTCACTTTGTCAGTATTTTTTTTTTTTTTTTTTTTTTTTTGTGCTCGTGGTATCTTTCGAGGCCTTTTAAAATATTCATGGTTATAACTATAATTGGAAATAGACACACACACACACACACACGCACGCGCACACACACGCACACACACACACATACGTGCACACACAAAAACACACACGCCTAATTACCTCCTGCTTGTCTATCTACATAGAGATATTGTACACATACATGTGTACAATATCTCTAACTATTCAACTGTACGTATATCTCTCTACCTACCTATCTGTACCTTCTCAGTAAAAATTATCGAAAGTTTATACGAGTACAGAAAGTTTCCCTCAAAAACCGATGAATTACAAAATGGCAAATCATCAAAATGTTGTATTTATTAATCTGTAAGTGACGTTTGATTTAATTCATCTCTTAAATTCTTCTTTGTATTTACTAATCTTCTAAAATGAATCAGCATAGACATTGATTTATTTCATACCAGTTGTCGCATGCTTATATCAGGCTACCGGCATTCAAAGGTTATTTCCGGAGTCCCAAAAAGTGATCGACATCCGTGTTCATCCGACATCCGGGGAAAATTGCTGCCACTGACGAGCCTGTTATATTCGGTGTAACGACCAAGCTTATCTTTCAGTATTGCGCTGTAGTGAAATAGCGTTCATAAATTGGATCGATACATGTATTACATATTTTTTTTGCTGGGTCAAATTTACTAAAACAAATTGATTAAATTAATTATGCACATACACACGCTTACACACACACATATATACATACGCAAGATAATGTATTTATACATATACTTAAATAGGCATATATACATACATACATGCATATATATTCATATATATGTATATATAATAGATACATACATACATATATGTATATATTTCCATATATATATATATATATATATATATATATATATATATATATATATATATATTTAAGGCATTTTTTGCAGCATCCCGAAACCATTAACCCTACAAAACACGATCTCACTGAAGTTTGTACTGACACATATTATTGAAAAAGTAGTAGTTATCTTTATTTATGAAGAAAATCAATAGAAAAAAACATTGAAGTAAATAGTATGCTGGTATGATTTTTAATTTGAATTGTGGAAGCTTCAAATAAAATGGAAAAAGTACCTGACTAGTCTGCAACTTCGCGTGGCTGTGTCAGATTCTGTCAAAATATTTTTTTTTTTTTCCTTATAACATACATTGTTCTTCATGTGAAAAATGGAAAATACTTAAGCTTTTGCATCTTATCGTATCGGCCGGGCCATAGCCGAAGGCCCGGGCGAAGCTAGAACTTCGCAAATCGCAATCGTTATCGTATCCACCGCGAGTTCCTTGTCCGAATCAGACAACTGGGTCATCCCAATGATTACGGACATTTACTTGTCTTATTACTGAATTATTTAAGCAAATCAAGATATACAGCATTTTCTTTGATGTTATTGAGCCTGTAAGGTTATATTATAGGGGTACAGAATGATTTTGAAAACATTAATTAAACCAAAGTCAATATCACGTCATATGACTCGGACACGTTGGAAATTCTTACTATGTCTTTCCAACGATCGTCATGAATGACTTCAAATCTCACCCATATCGAGTGGACATGTATTCGGTGTACTGCTGAAGCGACGCAGAAACATTTTATGCACCTTTTCAATAAAAAGTTACATAAAAACTTTCGATGCGTATTCGTAATAAATGAAAATACAAATTCCTATCCGAGACTACGTGAAATATATCTGAAGAATATCGCGCTTTGATTGGCTATCCATAGTGTATCAAACCATATCAAGTTTAAAGCAAACGCTTTGATACCATGAAGAGATGTTTTAACAGGTTCCAATAATGTACGCGTAAAAGTCAAACGTGTATCAGATATATATGTGCGTGTGTGTTTGTGTGTGTGTGTGTGTGTTTACGTGTGCATGCGTGCGTTTGTGTGCGCGCGCCAGTGTCTGTATGTGTTTGTGCGTGCATGTGTGTGTATTTGTGCATTTTGAGCGTGACTATGAGAAATTAGGAATAAGCATGTCACTATTCACGAACACACGAGAATCCCAGCAAGAGCACGAGAGAGTCACAGGCTTTTTGTGTGGTTCAGCCCATTTGAATAAATTGCAACTAGTCTATGATACACTCTGCTGTCATTTTGCCTGGCTGGCTGGGCGCTGAGAGGAAGTACAGATGAAACGTTATATATGTCACACACACACAGATACACACTGGCACAGACCTACAAACACACACACACATATATAAATATATTCATTTATATGTATATATACATATATATGTATATATACACACATATATGCAAATATATACATTTATAAATATATGTAAAGATATATGTATATTTATATCTATATGTATGTATATATACATGTGTATGTATGTATGTATATATATATATATATATATATATATGTATATATATATATATATATATATATATATATATATATATATATATATATGAGTGTGTGTGTGTGTGTGCATATGTATATGTATACACATTTATATGGATAAATTTTATATGTACACGCACACACACATACACACAGACACACGTAAGTGTGTCTGTATATATACACACATATATAGAGAGATAGATAAATAAATTAATATATGTGCATACATATACATATATGTATATGTACACACACACATATGATATGTATATGTATATATATATATATATACACGCATACGTGCGTGCGTGAGTGAGTGTGTGTGTGTACATACATTCTATATTTATACATATACTTTATATTTATATATAAACTATATACATATATGTATATGAATATATATGTATGTATGTATATATATGAATGTGTGTATATATGTATGTATATGTATGTATATATATATATATAAATGTATGTATATATGTATATATATGTGTGTGTGTACACACACACACACACATATATATAGATAGATATTTCAATATGGATGTATGCATTACATACACATACATATATAGATGTTTATATATATACACAGACACACACACACACATACACACACACACACACACACACACACACACACACACACACACACACATATATATATATATATATATATATATATATATATATATATATATATATATTTAATACACAATTATCATCGCACCTGAATACAACCATATTACTTTCCAACTGAAGATAAGGACCAGTAAAAGAACCATGTGGATAGGCCATGTCTTTATTACGATTTGTTTGTTTTTTTTTCCAAATGACAATTGGCTACACAGGAAACTCTTGCCACGTAAATCCATATAAAGCCGGATAAAATCGACACGAAATGAGAAAGCAGAAACTCTCGAACATAAAATTTGATCCAATCTTCCACATGAAACTGCTGTGAACGATCTCTGACTCTGTTTATAAACCTTTTACCTGGACAGCGATGGAGAGCTAGACCGTGCAGATGCCACCGGTCGAAGTTGCAATCCAGTCCAGATATTCTGAGGACAGAAGTTATAATAGAATTAATTAGGGAGTCGACTGCTGTGACGATAATGATTGTGATTGTGGATGTGTTGGTAATGATAAAACGAAATACGATTTTAGCATAATTGGTAATTTTCTTTGATTTTTGGAAATATTATTTCTTTATTCATATTGCAACAAGTATTATTAATAACATTATAACGAGTATAATGATAATAATAATAATAATATTAGAACGATATCAGTAGTATTGAAAAAAAAAAAAAATCCCGAAAGCTAATGGAAAGGGGAAATCAGGTGAGGACACAACAAGCTTACTAATTGGCTATTTGGTAGATGAGCACTTGTGGAGGAATTTGTGTTTAGCCTAGAACCATTACACAAAATAAAACTACAGTGTATAGTACCCGGTCGGTTAATAATAATTCAGTTGTGTCATAATGTCATTGAGGAACACATTACACACACATACACACACACACACATACACACACATTAATACCCTTAGCTACACTAGCCTTGCATTTACAAGACATATTAATAATCAATACAATGCAGAAAGCACTACGGTCCAGGGTAAACTGCCGAGTCGGGCTAGGGCGCCATATGAACAAATTTAGCGGAGCTGGTGACAGGGGAAAGATTGCATTTTACTGAAGAATTCTATGAAGTTGAAGAAAGTGATGAATTAAAGGTGAAGGTTGCAGTTATCAACGTGCACGGAAGAAAATGTTGGAAGATATAGTATACAAAGAAATCCATGATAGGAGGGGGCAGAGACTAAAATATAATATAAATATATATATATATATATATATATATATATATATATATATATAAGGAGGATATTATTCCTTTGCTATACATCGCTGCATTTAAGTAGCATCCACTGACACGCGATCACCATCATATCCCCAAAAATTAGATTAAACGGAATGGACGGGTATGCTTGCCATCCTTACCCACAGTGCCCTAACGTGGGGGGAGTTTCTGTAGCGCGATTGCAGGGTGGGTTCAACTACGTATACTTGCAGTGGGACTTAAGTACAGATTTTCGTGCCCTTGTACAAGGAATTTAATGAATCAATTTTACTTTGTACCAAAGTACTTGGAAGTGCTAAGCACATTCAAGTACAAACGAGTATATTGTCTTGAATCTAAAATTATATACTGTATATAGATTTTACCAAGAACTACAAACTGTTTCTTTACGAATCTGTGACAGATTTTTTTTTTTTATCACATAAAGCACAATAAGTACAAGTACAATAACATGTACTTGGATTTGGACTTAAGTACATAACAAATTGACTGTACTTATATCTGAAAAAGTACTTGGACTTAAGTACAGTCGATTGTACTTGGACCCAACCCTGCACAACAGTAAGTGCAAGACAGGTCAAGGGTATTCGAGTTGGTTTTACATGTAAGGACCTCGATAGGAGATAGTATTAGCTGTTAACAGAGTATAATGGGGAGTCCTCTATGATATTCGACCATGCGCCGCAAATGGAGAGAAAAAAAAAGAAAGAGAGAAAAAATTGAGATGTGTTAGGAAATTCTGATAAGAAAAAAAAAAAAAAAAAAAAAAAAAAAAAAAAAAAAAAAAAAACAGAAGAAATATTGGATGTCATCATAGACATGTACTTAACCTTTTACATATATACGATATACCACATATAAACATATACATGCATGTGTATATTCATATATACATTTTTTTTCGGTTTAGCGTCATGAAACTCCCTTTTTGGTCAAGGGCTAGGATGGGCCTGCCCCGTGAAGGACAGGCAGGTATTGATAAGTGGAGACCGTTACCCCGAGTGGATGCCCTTCCTAACCTCGGGCCGTGGCCGGGACTCGAACCCGTGCGACTGCGGACCCTCCGACCCACAGCCGCGCGCGCTACCACTGTACCACTGCGTACATATGCACATTATATCTACTTCTGTATCTGCACACACACACACACACAGTATATATGTGTGTATGAGTGTGTGTATATATATATGTGTGTGCACACACACGCATACTTATGTATATGTATATATAAAGTGTGTGTATTCTTAAATGCACTTACGCACACACACATATATATACATACACACAGTCATTTTCCCCAACGCTTGTAGGACAGCTAAGTTTGCGCTCAGTGTAGCCCTGATATAGCCCATCTTGAGTTGCACAACTATGTTGCAATCCAGTGAATGTTCTAGCTTATAGGGGAATTATGCTACGGACGTCCAACGGCGTCCGCATCGCTGGGGTGTAACAAGGTGCGGACGTAAAACAGCGTTCGTTTCACTAATAACATTAACATACAGAGCCAAGGATAATAACTTACTTGTAACTCTAGCGTAGACTCCGGGTCTATCAGGTCGAGCACAGCCAGTGCCCCACGACACAACTCCTACCAGTTTCCACCTGCCGTTTTCTTCTACAATCATTGGACCGCCAGAATCACCCTGTACAACAAAAAGAGAAAATAAACAAATGCACTGATTAATAAGTAATGTCAGATGTAGCAAATTATGAAGAATGGGTGGAAATCTACCTGACAAGAATCTTTGCCTCCCTCGGGGAGGCCTGCGCAGATCATATTGTCTGTTATCTGTCCATTATACATGGTATTACAAGCTGTGTTTGTCATGGTCGGTACAGTCACTTCGAAGAGCACGGCAGACGTGGATCCTCCTATTAAACAAAACATTCATAATGGTGACCTTAACGGAATTGAAGACCTTGTTTTCGTATGTAAACATTTGTGTACACAACGTGTGTCTGGTATTCATAGAGGTTTACATTCCCATAGAGTGGCGATATTTACCCTCTTGTTGAGCTCCCCAGCCTGTGATTGTAGCATCAACATTAGCATACATTTCACCGGCTGTTGGAAGACACACAGGAGCAATTCGGTTGTCATCTGGGAACTCAATTGCATTAGCGAGTTTGAGAAGAGCAATGTCGTTGTCGTACGTAATGCTGTTATAATCAGGATGAATCTTGATCTGTAAGAAAGGCAGTTTATTGAGATCATATAAATTCTTTTACATAATGTGCTTTGTTTGCAGGTCATTTTCATTATGATGTAATATATATAGAGCTGAAATCCTTGCGAAAAAAAGAAAAATCTGAATGAATTTACCTCGGCAATGTTAGTTGCCAAAGCTGCGGCATCACTCGTGGTGTACAAATTGTGGTCTCCATACAAGACCCAGTCTGAGTTGACCATGCTGTAGCAAAAGGAAATAGTAAGTTTTGTATAGTGTTTGATGTGATTTTGTTTTTGCTTTTATGAAATGAAAGATGCAGTGAAAAGCACGTACCCGACAGCACAGTGGGCAGCGGTGACAACCCATTCATCAGAAATGATAGATCCGCCACAGAAGTGATAAAGTTCAGCACCGTTGACCAGGGACACCATCCACGGGTATTCATTCACTTCCGTCTCAAATCCGCCTACGATACGGGTGGCTCGGTTCACAAGTCCACATTCGGCTGTGGATATAGGATGAGTTCACAATTGAATACTGACTTCACGTGAATGGGATTGGACACTTGCTTCTGTGTATGTGCAGCATACACGTGTCACTTGAGCCATGGTCACACTGTCACTGGATATCTGCATCTGCTGCAAGACTTCCCAATTTGCCTTGATGAGAGTTCTGCAACTCATCACAGACAAAAAGTTTATGTTATAAAGGTTATAGTAGAAATGTACAAACAGTTACTTTAAGACAACTGTAGAATCCCTTGCAAGTAAGCTAATCTTTTGTGTCGGGATATCTGTAACGTGCAGGTCTGCATTGGCATATCCACGAAGTTTTTAGATAATACAGTACTGCCAAAAAGAATAAATAGATAAAATAAAAAATGAAGAAAAATAAATAAAATAAATAAATATATGAATGAATATAGAAGCAAGACTCAAAGTATCATTGAGGTTAAACTTAACTGGAATCTAGAATTTTCAAAGTTATTTCATCCTTGTACTAAGATAGCGAATCTACTACAGGTCATTTTGTTCAACTTTCACTTGGGGGGACTCAGAACTGAAAATGTCAACAATAACAAGTTTAAATCGACATTTGATTGGTGCCGTTTATCATGACTAGGAAGTATAGTATGATTAAGACCTGCCAATGGCATATGTAATCGTAGGTATGCAATAAGAAGTGTTTATGCAGCTTATAATTACTCAGTGAAAGAAATAGTAATACTTATGGACATATATCTTAAGTAGTGAAACAATATAGAAAATATGTAGAATTAACAGGGATAGGAAAGCATCGAGTGAGCGCCGTAAACGATAGATTGCTGTCACATATTATGGCAAGATGGAGACGAAGTTTAAGCCGTATTTTTACTTTGACAGTGAATATCAAGGGGTAGGTTTGCAGATACTGTCTTGCCAGAATGGAAGTGTCGGCCATTGCTGCACCAGTTGCTATTCACTGTCAGTACATTATTTAACTCAAGCTCCCCGGATTTATGTTTTGGCCCCCGGATTTTTTTTACAGACAGGTGGCTCCACGTGTGCGCAGCCGGCAAGGAGTCATTCAGTAGCCTTAGTGACCGATCCTGATTTCTCCATTCCTTGAATTGGAGGGAAAATGTGTTTTTCTATTGAACACAGTTGACATCAATACTGTTGTTATTGTTATTGATTTTATGATTATTAAATTGTTATTAAAATCTCAACATTTAAGATAATGATTTAATGCAAAAGACCCTTTCCAAAAGTCAGGGAAAAGGGTAAACAGGTGAGATAGGTAGGGCAGACAATCGACTCCTTAGTGACTAAACACTTGTAGAGCCATCTATGTGTAAATACAATAAATAAACTAGTATTGCATTGGAAATGGCATGTATTCTTGCCATGCATGGCGATTAGGTTCATTAACAGTACATTTTACTGACGCAAATTATTGCAAGTGTTAATTTATTATACTAGACAGCATTATTTACTTTACTGTATCTTCAGGCAGTGTCGCACTGGCTAATTAATTATACAGGTAGCCCTCATTGCTCATGGCAGAGCGGTTAGTGTAACAGGATAGCGTCATGTGAACGCAGTTAAATGTTCCTTGTAACATGGCAGACATCAAGTGGCACAGGGATTCATTTCAAAATGCATATCATAGTATATAGTTCTATAGTTTATAGTATATAGTTTACTAGTGTTCGTGTTATTTCTGTACAATATGGCATCTCAAATCGCCCTTAAATGTTACTTACGGCAATCGGAAGGTGATGTAGGTTCAGGCGTTGGAGGAGGTGGAGGAGGCGATGTAGGGGGTGGTGGTGTGTTGTCAGTTGAACACACGCCAGTTGTTGATTCAGAAATCCAATTCAAATATTCTGATAGAAGAGATAGAAATATCGTGAGGTATTCACAAATATCCCAGTATTTCTTTAAATGATTCTTCTAATTCCACTTTGGTTATTTCACAGTGGCATTTACTTGTTAAATGAGAATAAAATAGGGAGATTACGTGAAACTCTGGCGTAGACTCCGGGTCTATCAGGTCGAGCACAGCCAGTGCCCCACGACACAACTCCTACCAGTTTCCACCTGCCGTTTTCTTCTACAATCATTGGACCGCCAGAATCACCCTGTACAACCAAAAAGAGAAAATAAACAAATGCACTGATTAATAAGTAATGTCAAATGTAGCAAATTATGAAGAATGGGTGGAAATCTACCTGACAAGAATCTTTGCCTCCCTCGGGGAGGCCTGCGCAGATCATATTGTCTGTTATCTGTCCATTATACATGGTATTACAAGCTGTGTTTGTCATGGTCGGTACAGTCACTTCGAAGAGCACGGCAGACGTGGATCCTCCTATTAAACAAAACATTCATAATGGTGACCTTAACGGAATTGAAGACCTTGTTTTCGTATGTAAACATTTGTGTACACAACGTGTGTCTGGTATTCATAGAGGTTTACATTCCCATAGAGTGGCGATATTTACCCTCTTGTTGAGCTCCCCAGCCTGTGATTGTAGCATCAACATCAGCATACATTTCACCGGCTGTTGGAAGACACACAGGAGCAATTCGGTTGTCATCTGGGAACTCAATTGCATTAGCGAGTTTGAGAAGAGCAATGTCGTTGTCGTACGTAATGCTGTTATAATCAGGATGAATCTTGATCTGTAAGGAAGGCAGTTTATTGAGATCATATAAATTCTTTTACATGTGCTTTGTTTGCAGGTCATTTTCATTATGATGTAATATATATAGAGCTGAAATCCTTGCGAAAAAAAAAGAAAAATCTGAATGAATTTACCTCGGCAATGTTAGTTGCCAAAGCTGCGGCATCACTCGTGGTATACAAATTGTGGTCTCCATACAAGACCCAGTCTGAGTTGACCATGCTGTAGCAAAAGGAAATAGTAAGTTTTGTATAGTGTTTGATGTGATTTTGTTTTTGCTTTTATGAAATGAAAGATGCAGTGAAAAGCACGTACCCGACAGCACAGTGGGCAGCAGGTGACAACCCATTCATCAGAAATGATAGATCCGCCACAGAAGTGATAAAGTTCCAGCACCGTTGACCAGGGACACCATCCACGGGTATTCATTCACTTCCGTCTCAAATCCGCCTACGATACGGGTGGCTCGGTTCACAAGTCCACATTCGGCTGTGGATATAGGATGAGTTCACAATTGAATACTGACTTCACGTGAATGGGATTGGACACTTGCTTCTGTGTATGTGCAGTATACACGTGTCACTTGAGCCATGGTCACACTGTCACTGGATATCTGCATCTGCTGCAAGACTTCCCAATTTGCCTTGATGAGAGTTCTGCAACTCATCACAGACAAAAAGTTTATGTTATAAAGGTTATAGTAGAAATGTACAAACAGTTACTTTAAGACAACTGTAGAATCCCTTGCAAGTAAGCTAATCTTTTGTGTCGGGATATCTGTAACGTGCAGGTCTGCATTGGCATATCCACGAAGTTTTTAGATAATACAGTACTGCCAAAAAGAATAAATAGATAAAATAAAAAATGAAGAAAAATAAATAAAATAAAATAAATATATGAATGAATATAGAAGCAAGACTCAAAGTATCATTGAGGTTAAACTTGACTGGAATCTAGAATTTTCAAAGTTATTTCATCCTTGTACTAAGATAGCGAATCTACTACAGGTCATTTTGTTCAACTTTCACTTGGGGGGACTCAGAACTGAAAATGTCAACAATAACAAGTTTAAATCGACATTTGATTGGTGCCGTTTATCATGACTAGGAAGTATAGTATGATTAAGACCTGCTAATAGCATATGTAATTGTAGGTATGCAATAAGAAGTGTATAGGCTGCTTATCACTACTCAGTGAAAGAAATAGTAATACTTATGGACATATATCTTAAGTAGTGAAACAATATAGAAAATATGTAGAATTAACAGGGATAGGAAAGCATCGAGTGAGCGCCTAAACGATAGATTGCTGTCACATATTATGGCAAGATGGAGACGAAGTTTAAGCCGTATTTTTACTTTGACAGTGAATATCAAGGGGTAGGTTTGCAGATACTGTCTTGCCAGAATGGAAGTGTCGGCCATTGCTGCACCAGTTGCTATTCACTGTCAGTACATTATTTAACTCAAGCGCCCCGGATTTATGTTTTGGCCCCCGGATTTTTTTTTTTACAGACAGGTGGCTCCACGTGTGCGCAGCCGGCAAGGAGTCATTCAGTAGCCTTAGTGACCGATCCTGATTTCTCCATTCCTTGAATTGGAGGGAAAATGTGTTTTTCTATTAAACACAGTTGGCATCAATACTGTTGTTATTGTTATTGATTTTATGATTATTAAATTGTTATTAAAATCTCAACATTTGAGATAATGATTTAATGCAAAAGACCCTTTCCAAAAGTCAGGGAAAAGGGTAAACAGGTGAGATAGGTAGGGCAGACAATCGACTCCTTAGTGACTAAGCACTTGTAGAGCCATCTATGTGTAAATACAATAAATAAACTAGTATTGCATTGGAAATGGCATGTATTCTTGCCATGCATGGCGATTAGGTTCATTAACAGTACATTTTACTGACGCAAATTATTGCAAGTGTTAAATCATTATACTAGACAGCATTATTTACTTTATTGTATCTTCAGGCAGTGTCGCACTGGCTAATTAATTATACAGGTAGCCCTCATTGCTCATGGCAGTGCGGTTAGTGTAACAGGATAGCGTCATGTGAACGCAGTTAAATGTTCCTTGTAACATGGCAGACATCAAGTGGCACAGGGATTCACTTTCAAAATGCATATCATAGTATATAGTTCTATAGTTTATAGTATATAGTTTACTAGTGTTCGTGTTATTTCTGTACAATATGGCATCTCAAATCGCCCTTAAATGTTACTTACGGCAATCGGAAGGTGATGTAGGTTCAGGCGTTGGAGGAGGTGGAGGAGGCGATGTAGGGGGTGGTGGTGTGTTGTCAGTTGAACACACGCCAGTTGTTGATTCAGAAATCCAATTCAAATATTCTGATAGAAGAGATAGAAATATCGTGAGGTATTCACAAATATCCCAGTATTTCTTTAAATGATTCTTCTAATTCCACTTTGGTTATTTCACAGTGGCATTTACTTGTTAAATGAGAATAAAATAGGGAGATTACGTGAAACTCTGGCGTAGACTCCGGGTCTATCAGGTCGAGCACAGCCAGTGCCCCACGACACAACTCCTACCAGTTTCCACCTGCCGTTTTCTTCTACAATCATTGGACCGCCAGAATCACCCTGTACAACAAAAAGAGAAAATAAACAAATGCACTGATTAATAAGTAATGTCAGATGTAGCAAATTATGAAGAATGGGTGGAAATCTACCTGACAAGAATCTTTGCCTCCCTCGGGGAGGCCTGCGCAGATCATATTGTCTGTTATCTGTCCATTATACATGGTATTACAAGCTGTGTTTGTCATGGTCGGTACAGTCACTTCGAAGAGCACGGCAGACGTGGATCCTCCTAACAAAACATTCATAATGGTGACCTTAACGGAATTGAAGACCTTGTTTTCGTATGTAAACATTTGTGTACACAACGTGTGTCTGGTATTCATAGAGGTTTACATTCCCATAGAGTGGCGATATTTACCCTCTTGTTGAGCTCCCCAGCCTGTGATTGTAGCATCAACATTAGCATACATTTCACCGGCTGTTGGAAGACACACAGGAGCAATTCGGTTGTCATCTGGGAACTCAATTGCATTAGCGAGTTTGAGAAGAGCAATGTCGTTGTCGTACGTAATGCTGTTATAATCAGGATGAATCTTGATCTGTAAGAAAGGCAGGTTATTGAGATCATATAAATTCTTTTACATAATGTGCTTTGTTTGCAGGTCATTTTCATTATGATGTAATATATATAGAGCTGAAATCCTTGCGAAAAAAAGAAAAATCTGAATGAATTTACCTCGGCAATGTTAGTTGCCAAAGCTGCGGCATCACTCGTGGTGTACAAATTGTGGTCTCCATACAAGACCCAGTCTGAATTGACCATGCTGTAGCAAAAGGAAATAGTAAGTTTTGTATAGTGTTTGATGTGATTTTGTTTTTGCTTTTATGAAATGAAAGATGCAGTGAAAAGCACGTACCCGACAGCACAGTGGGCAGCGGTGACAACCCATTCATCAGAAATGATAGATCCGCCACAGAAGTGATAAAGTCCAGCACCGTTGACCAGGGACACCATCCACGGGTATTCATTCACTTCCGTCTCAAATCCGCCTACGATACGGGTGGCTCGGTTCACAAGTCCACATTCGGCTGTGGATATAGGATGAGTTCACAATTGAATACTGACTTCACGTGAATGGGATTGGACACTTGCTTCTGTGTATGTGCAGTATACACGTGTCACTTGAGCCATGGTCACACTGTCACTGGATATCTGCATCTGCTGCAAGACTTCCCAATTTGCCTTGATGAGAGTTCTGCAACTCATCAAAGACAAAAAGTTTATATTATAAAGGTTATAGTAGAAATGTACAAACAGTTACTTTAAGACAACTGTAGAATCCCTTGCAAGTAAGCTAATCTTTTGTGTCGGGATATCTGTAACGTGCAGGTCTGCATTGGCATATCCACGAAGTTTTTAGATAATACAGTACTGCCAAAAAGAATAAATAGATAAAATAAAAAATGAAGAAAAATAAATAAACTAAATTAAATATATGAATGAATAAAGAAGCAAGACTCAAAGTATCATTGAGGTTAAACTTGACTGGAATCTAGAATTTTCAAAGTTATTTCATCCTTGTACTAAGATAGCGAATCTACTACAGGTCATTTTGTTCAACTTTCACTTGGGGGGACTCAGAACTGAAAATGTCAACAATAACAAGTTTAAATCGACATTTGATTGGTGCCGTTTATCATGACTAGGAAGTATAGTATGATTAAGACCTGCTAATGGCATATGTAATTGTAGGTATGCAATAAGAAGTGTATAGGCTGCTTATCACTACTCAGTGAAAGAAATAGTAATACTTATGGACATATATCTTAAGTGGTGAAACAATATAGAAAATATGTATATGAATTAACAAGGATAGGAAAGCATCGAGTGAGCGCCTAAACGATAGATTGCTGTCACATATTATGGCAAGATGGAGACGAAGTTTAAGCCGTATTTTTACTTTGACAGTGAATATCAAGGGGTAGGTTTGCAGATACTGTCTTGCCAGAATGGAAGTGTCGGCCATTGCTGCACCAGTTGCTATTCACTGTCAGTACATTATTTAACTCAAGCGCCCCGGATTTATGTTTTGGCCCCCGGATTTTTTTTTACAGACAGGTGGCTCCACGTGTGCGCAGCCGGCAAGGAGTCATTCAGTAGCCTTAGTGACCGATCCTGATTTCTCCATTCCTTGAATTGGAGGGAAAATGTGTTTTTCTATTGAACACAGTTGACATCAATACTGTTGTTATTGTTATTGATTTTATGATTATTAAATTGTTATTAAAATCTCAACATTTAAGATAATGATTTAATGCAAAAGACCCTTTCCAAAAGTCAGGGAAAAGGGTAAACAGGTGAGATAGGTAGGGCAGACAATCGACTCCTTAGTGACTAAACACTTGTAGAGCCATCTATGTGTAAATACAATAAATAAACTAGTATTGCATTGGAAATGGCATGTATTCTTGCCATGCATGGCAATTAGGTTCATTAACAGTACATTTTACTGACGCAAATTATTGCAAGTGTTAATTTATTATACTAGACAGCATTATTTACTTTACTGTATCTTCAGGCAGTGTCGCACTGGCTAATTAATTATACAGGTAGCCCTCATTGCTCATGGCAGAGCGGTTAGTGTAACAGGATAGCGTCATGTGAACGCAGTTAAATGTTCCTTGTAACATGGCAGACATCAAGTGGCACAGGGATTCATTTCAAAATGCATATCATAGTATATAGTTCTATAGTTTATAGTATATAGTTTACTAGTGTTCGTGTTATTTCTGTACAATATGGCATCTCAAATCGCCCTTAAATGTTACTTACGGCAATCGGAAGGTGATGTAGGTTCAGGCATTAATCATTGTCCTTGTAGAATATAAAATAATAATCATAGTAATAGTAATAATAACAATAATATTGATAATAATAATGATAATAATAATAATAATAATAATAATTTAATAATAATAATAATAATATAATAATAATAATAATGATAATAATGATGATAACAATAATAATAATAAAGAAAAAGCAATGAATGAACAGGTAAAATTCCATACCTGAAGCTGTAACATAGCAGTTGAATCCTCTCTGAACATTTTTTCTATTAGTTTTGAAAAAAGCTCGTAGGCTCCTGCCTTCCACAGATACCGCGAGGGAGGCCCGAGATCCACAGAATCTGAAGGAATAATATAAATCTCTCAATGATTAAACTATGTATACATACAACACATATATAAATGTGTGTTTTATATGAGTGTTATACATGTGTGTGTATATACGTGCATATATGTGTTTGTACATGTGCATATTTATGCTTATGTATATATATACATATATGCATATATATGTATATATATATATATTTATATATATATATATATATATATATATATATATATATATTGTCTTTGTGTATGAATATACATTTACACACACACATACACACACATACACAAACACATACACACACACTCGTATTACGCACACGTGTGTGTATGTACATATGCTTGTATGTGCAGTAATGACAACTTGTTCATAAATTAACGAAAACCACAGAAGCTTTCGTAATGGGTTTTTGGTCTACATTTACTTTTGAATAAATCCTTACTTTCTATTGATCCCCGAGCCCCAGATTCTTAAGAAGTCGTTTCTGCAGCGTCGGGATGACTCAAGCAGGAAATCGTCGCATTCGATGGATAAAGAAGATTCTACCAAGGTCTGTAATGAAAAGAAAAGAAGAAATATAAAGGGGAAAAGTTTGTGAAAGTGGGAATATAAGGAAGAAGGAGAAATAGGTAAAATCGATGAGCAAATGAATTCAATTACATTAAACTAAAGAAGAAGAAAAAAATAGGAGAGATGCGTAGAAGGCGAAATGAATTACTAAAGTATTAATAACGTAAATAAATCAAAATATCAAGGCAAAACGAAATTGCAAACGAATAAATAAAATGCTGGTGCAATCAACTATTAATTATCGTCCAACAGTACGAGCATAACCATCGCAGTATCCTTAAAGTATTGCAAGGAAGATAGCAAAACATCTCTAACACACACACACAAAAAAAATAAAAAAATAAAAAAAATAATCATATCACTAAAAGAAGAAAGTCAAAACAAAATCAAAAATCCTTACCCAAAACCTCCACATACACCTATACCTATTCCGGTAATTCCCAGGATAGCCAATCGACTGGAACAAGCTGGTCGACCCTGGCGCAATGTACCGAACCCCGCAGTTAAGTCCATCTGCAACGCGCAAAGGATTAGCCTCCTGTGACGAAAATGTGTGGAGCTATTATTCTATCATGCAAGTTTATGCAGCTGATTAGACAAGAAATAAACACTTACCTCTGCTCATTGCGTGCAGTGAACCATCGATTCGTGGTTCTATAATAGTCTGATTTGGACTCTTTGTGAACTGGCGGGGTCCAACTCCACTGTCATTAGCGTAAGTGTGAGCTTGGCTTGGACTCAGTGTGAACTGACGGGGTCCAATTCCACTGTCATTAGCGTAAGTGTGAGCTTGACTAGGACTCAGAGTGAACTGACGGGGTCCAATTCCACTGTCATTAGCGAAAGTGTGAGCTTGGCTTGGACTCAGTGTGAACTGACGGGGTCCAATTCCACTGTCATTAGCGTAAGTGTGAGCTTGACTAGGACTCAGAGTGAACTGACGGGGTCCAATTCCACTGTCATTAGCGAAAGTGTGAGCTTGACTAGGACTCAGTGTGAACTGGCGGGGATCAACGCGACTGTTGGTATTCAACTTAGTGTTCTCTGACCTCAGTGGAATCTCTTTATTCCTGTAAAGGAAATTAGACTGAATTCTAAAAACTATACAGTATGATATAATTATGCTAATGATAATGAATAAAGAAAACATGAATAACAATGTAATTGCTAAATTGCTATATGCATTATAATTCTCAAAATATGAGCAATGGTACAAGACGTTGGGGGCAGTTTTGCAGCACTAGTTACCTTGCATCAACGAATTATATTGTTAAGTTTTGTAGTTTAGAATTTGAAAAAAAAAAAATGGGGTTAATAATTATGGTATCACTCTGGGTGGTAGTGAGGCCCAATGAACCAATCAAATGGAGAAGTGGTCTTTTCTATTAATCGGGAAACAGAGATGGCTCCAGTTTCATTATCTGTGTCTTGCCTATAGTATTAGTTACTCTATTCCATTTATTGTTTTTTTCCTAAATCTATTTTCCATGTTGAACTTCCACTCAGGTTGAGAGCCTGCACTGCCAATTGAAAGAGGTCCTCACAGCTTCATCCTCCACTCGTTACGGGGCGGACCAGTTGCCCTTGGTGCTCCTATACATATGGACCTCTTTCAAACAGGACCTTCAGTTCACCACAGCTGAGATGGTTTATGGAACCACCATAGCCCGCCCTACGAGGGACCTTTTACCAGGACGGTAAACCTGTCACCATTAAGCATCCGCAAAGAGATGACACTGTCAGCATCAACCATGTGAAGCCAGCGCATCTCCAAGAACAATGCAAAATTTCTAAGATTCGCTTCGCGACCGCTACACTGGAAGGGGACTGTTGTGGCAACCGCCTTGCAATCAGCTTGTACACACGATAGAGGCAGGTTCATGCTGTTTGGCATTTCGGCTCCCGCCAATCACTGCAAAGTGTCCCGGGTGGCTTGCCCATTTAAGCCGCTGAATCCAGAATTACAATACACTCATTGACTAAACACTGACCACAGAACACCTTGTTTAAGTTCTTCAAATAAAAAGTTGATCTGATAACCACACCATACATATTTAATGATCATCCAACATTTGTTTTTTTCATGGTGTATGAAGATGCCCTGGGTATGGGCTCCTAGGCAGTCCTGTGTTGGGGTTTACTCTTCCCTCTTTTCCCTTCGCTAAGTTGAATTCACCACTGAAAAGACTTTGACTAACCTAGTATCTGCTACGACACCTCTTGAGATCTTACTGCTCAAAACATGCCAAATATCCAAGTAATTACAAGTAATTCACAATGTACATTCTGCTCTACACTCAAATAGCTTCTACAGGGCATAGAGTATGTAATTATACATGCATATACACTTATATCCCATTGTATAAACCATTTCAACTCAAATTGCCTTAAGAGTAAATTTGGAAGTGCTCAGTTGGAAATGGGAAGATTTGGGAATTAACTTTCGAAATAGGAACATGTGAAACTCATGCAGTCCATCAATTTTGCTAATACAGCAAGAGCCCTATCATCCTCGTGGAGTTGAAAGCCAGTGTTAAACTCATGGTGTAGTCACTGAAGACGTGGACCTACCGACTGTATCATCATCATCATCATAAGGGGGCATACGCATGGCTGCGCTTTGCCGCGCCCAACCTTTGCCTCCATCTCTTGGGGTCCCTCCGAGCGAGCCTCCATGCAGCATTCCTTCCCACTCCCAGTACATTCTTGCAGATCTGATCGACTTGCTTCAGCCATGAGTTCCGTGGCCTTCCCCTTGGTCTTCTCCAGCCTGGGTCAACCCTCTCGGAGATGACCCTATGAGCCGGATCTTCCTCAGGGAAATGAGCCACATGTCCATAGAGCTGAAGTTGGCGCTCTCGTATCAGACTGGTAATAGATCTTGAATCAGTCTCATGGAGTATCCTCTGATTGGACACATGGTCCCTCCAGGTATACCCCATGATTCTGCGAAGACACTTAGTACCGAAGGAGTTAAGACGGGCTTTCAGAGCACTGTTCAGTGTCCAGGTCTCACACCCGTAGAGCAAGACCGGGATCACCAGTGCTCTGAAGAGCCTGATCTTAGTTCTCCTAGTCAAATACCGACAGCGTCAAATACTCCTATTGAGTGAGTCCATAACGCCGTAGGCCAGTCCGAGTCGTCGAGTGACTTCCCGGTCGGAACCTCCGTCGCTCTGCACTACACTACCAAGATAAGTGAAGCTATCCAAGACCTCAATGTTCTCGCCACAGGCATGCACAGACTGAACATCGACATCCAAAAAGTCCCCAAATTCCTGAACCTTGGTCTTGGTCCAGTTGACCGCGAGTCCCAGTGGCTTTGCCTCCTCATGCAGCGCCTCGAGAGCTACTTCCAGGACCTCTAATGTCTCTGTTAGAATCACTGCATCATCGGCAAATTCAAGGTCTGTGACCTTGAAATTACCAATTGATGCCCCACAGGAACTACGGTTCACGGTACGGCCAAGTATCCAGTCCATACAAGTGTTGAAAAGGGTTGGGGTCAGGACACATCCCTGTCTCACCCCGGCAGACACCGGGAAGAAGGCAGAGATTCCCTCCCCACACTTGACAGCACTCTCAGTATCTGTATACAGGCCAGACAGCAAACCAATAATTCCAGGGGGGATCCCACGGAGACCCAGTAGGCTCCAGAGACTCTCCCTGGTGCACTGAGTCGAAAGCCTTCTTGAGATCAACATAAGCTGCAAGCATACCCTGTTGAAACTCAAGTCGGCGTTCCACAAGGACACGAAGTGCTAAGACACGGTCTATAGTTGACTTCTTGGGTGTAAAACCAGACTGCTCAGGTCTCTGTGCTCGTAATAGGTGGTCGCGCACTCGTGCCAGAAGCAGATGAGCGAGGACCTTGCCTGGTACGCGACTGTATCCCCATGGTTCAAAGTAAGGACTGACAACAACCCGAGGCACTGGAGAAAGTCTAGGATTACCAACAACAAACCAGCAGTAAAGTTTTGTGAATTTGATGTATATTCCACATGCATGCACTGAAAGAACAGTACATGCCCCTTTGATAGAGGAATTGAGAAGCACCATTTGGGCATTTAAGGACTTTAGATAAAATGGTAACATTGTCTACGAAGTTAAATTGACTTCTGAGGCTAGTTTTACCCATCACATAGTCCATGCAAGTGTAGAGAAGTATTGGTACACAGCCCTACCTCACTCCTAGCATGCCCCAACATTTCACATCACTTTCAGCATAAAGACTTCTAATTAATTAATCTTTGTTGAAAATCATCTGAGCCTCAGGAACTCCCAGAGTAGTTTGTGATGCATTGTGTCAACTGATCTCTTGAGGTCACCTGTGAGGGATCAGGCAAAATAGCTCACAGGTGCACCAAAGGCCTATGAAAAGGATGGTGCACCCACCCCTGGTTCATTCCATCTTGTACCAGGGAGAACTGTGTGTGTTTGCCGTGTGTGGTATCCCATATTGCTGGGAGTCAGAAGTCCTGAAGGTTAAGTAATGCTGCATGTTGCAACTAGCAACACACATCTTTGGTCCTGTTCTGGTTAGATGGTGGCTTGACCAAGGCCCGATCAAGAAATTGGTTGGTCAAATATGGCTAGGGTTAAGTTGGCACTGCCTAGCTGGTATTGCATAGGAATATGTTTCCTCCCTAACCCTGTGGGTGGTGGTAGTATTTGACCCCAAACTATGGCTTCCCCTTGTTCGATTCCATGGTGGATGGGGGTGAGAAAATGAAAAATTCCAATTTATATGCTTTCTACAAGAAAAGGCTCTCTCCCTGATGACCTACACAATCCCTGGCTAATTCCTCTCAAACATCACGTCACCTTGCAACTTTTCTAATTTCCAATGAGCAAGAATGGGAAATGGAATGGATCTTAATGTTTTGAAGTATATCACAAGATAGCTGAAGTGGTAGTCTGAGGTGGTCTCATGTGCACAGCCAGGTTCTAGCTTATCATCCTTTAACCTTCCACCACACACTCTGCCACTACAGAGTCTTCAAATACTGCCTCTGGTGATATTTCCAATGGTCTATTGAAAAGACATACACAGGGGCCTCCATAGCTATAAATCCTTAGCCTTTCCAAAGGAAACCTATGGAAAATGGTTCCACAGGTAAAGAACCCTCCAAGACAGTGGAAAGAGAAAGCCAGAAGGAGAGAGCCCTAATCACAGGTGGTGCCAAACACATGAAAAGGTAGCTTAAAGAACTGGATACCTTAATCTAATGCAAAAATAGGAGGAATTGCGAACCACAGTTGCTGCCAAACATTTTATGAAGTGGTTTGTCAACCTGAAAAAAATGAATACCCTAATTCAATGGAATTGTCAGGGAATTCATGCAACATGTGAAGAACTCCAACATCAGATAGCTTTATATAGCCCAGTTTGTATATGCCTACAAGAGATTATGACCAGGGAAAATCGTCCAATTTCCCTGAGAGGATTCCAAGTTCAAGTCCATTATGGGACCTTTGATAATGGACCTCATGGAGTAGGAGCAGTGATGGTAAGTCAGGATATTTCCTTCCAAGTCATCTACCTGCAGATGAGACTGCTGGTGAAAGCTGTGAGGATAGGCTTGATATGACCTTACACTGTTGCATCCATCTACCTTCCTCCATATAATCTCAACATAGATGATTTGGAAGATATACTTGGCCAATTGCCTCATCCATTTCTACTTTTGGGAGACTTCAATGGAGAGACACTGTGCAACCCATGAGGGAGGGCCTTGGAGTCCTTCTCAAGAGTAGATGATGTTTTTCAGAACAGTAACACACCCACACATATCCAAATTCAAATTCCAATACTGACTTGTCAAATGGTTTATTTGGTTCACAGTTGGATTTCACTTGGCAGGTAAGGATAAGGATAAGTCTGAAATGCGAAGCTGAGCATCGCCCGGGCTATGAGGGGAGCCCGGCCTGTACCGACTAATGTCGACTCGCTAACAGTGTGTCAGCTGGTGCTGACTCGGCTTAGTCCTTACCCGCCGTGGTGTGCAGCCACAGCAGTAACCTCCAGGCGACAATTGCAACTTCTCGCGCCTGGGCGGGGCGCGAACCGCCGACCCCTCAGATGAAAGGCCGACACGTTACCACTGTACTACCACGGAGGCTACATGGCAGGTCATGGAAAAACACTTTCCAATACTTTTGAAGGTGCAGAAATTTATTTATTTATTTATTTTTTTAGATTAACTGCAATAATGCAGGAATCTGTGAATGATTTCCAATTTGTTAGAGATGCTGTTAATCACTTCAAATCACTTGGTAGTTGACAGCACCATCATCTGATGAATGTCAAAACAAGAAAAGCTTCGTTAAAGCAACTGAAATGATGCCCCGGCAATGTGACCTTTATCCATTACAAAAGGACTCAAGCCAAGGCCAGGTGAATGCTAAAGTAGGCTGGACGGACGATAGATGGCTTAATCCCCACAGACAAAAAAGACGTTGCATATGAGCTAGGTAAATCCATGGCAGAGATCTCCTCTGGAAGGTCTTACAATCCCCAATTCTCCACCCTTAGAAAGCTGAACG